CGCTAAATTCAAAATATAAGTTCTCTTGTATGTAGGTTTGATATAATAATATAACTCTGCACAAATTAAAACATAACACTAAAATCTTGTTTTAGATGTTGGAGGTTTGATATTTTCAAATATTTTATGAAAAATAAATCTTTTATTATATCAGAGGATTAATATATTTTAATTACTCAATATAATCAAAAAAGAAATTAGCTATAAAAAAGATACATATAAAGAAAAATATCACAAAATGTCTGGGCGGTGTACCATCAAATTTATAGAAAAATTACTAGTTCAAACGGAAAAAAAAGTAAACAAGAACATGTCATCCGTAATAAAAGACATCAAATTAAATATATAGACAAAACTATTCGCATACTAATTGAATTATGTTTTATTAAAAGTCGACTTGTTGTAGACAAAATATATCATATGTATAAACTATATAGTCATTTTTTTAATTTACATTATTTTTTTTATTTTACTTTTGTATTAAATTTTATATCTCTCTATAATAGTTAAATAGATGAATTTCTAAATATTTGAGATTACATATAAAAGGAAAAAAGTATAAACATATAGTTAAAAAAGATAAATGATTACCAAACAATGAAGAAGACATAATTATTATTCTATGGAATTTAACATGCATACCCTCAAAATAATTAATAATAAATATAAATTGTGATTAGCTTTATTATATTTATAGCCTAAAGGGGTAGAAGAAAGGAAGAATATAAAAATACAGTAATCAAATTACGAAGTTATTAAATACTCAAAAAGACGGAGACATGAAAAATAATAATTCAGTTACAACTTCATGATATTGGTGAATATTTAACTTAGAACTATGATAATTTACATATTTCTCGACAAAAAGAAGATGAATATGCATGAAATATTAAAGAATACTAATAATTAAATTAATGATAAGAATTCTTATAATTATAAATTGGTTATGAAAATTTTGCAACAGATCGTGTAGAGCAACCTATTGTAGAATGCAAGATGACCACAAACTTGAATAAAAGAAGGAATATAAACAATGTGGTGTCAGTGTGTTTGATACTCTTCATAACCCCTCCCCCCCCCCCCCCCCGTTGTCTTACAAATTAAAATTGAAAAGTTATTAGACTCTATATTACCCACGTTTAGTTAGTTCATGAATATATGATTCATTAAGATCTTGTTTGATGCATGCATTTAAATATAACTATTACTTAATATTTAATTAATTAAATAGAAATTAATATTTAATTTATTTTAGGGGTAAGCTAAGGGCAAAATTGTAATTCAACTATGAGGTTAGAAACTTCCAACTCATATATATACTAGTATATGGGGACGTGTGTTGCACGTTTACTTCATAACGATGACTATGAATTATTAAAAAATCACATAATTTTTTAAAATATAGTATTTGAGTTACCAAAAACATATGAAATCTAAAATGATAAACATTTTTAGTGCATAAACTTATTAATAAAACGGCAATGCGTGATTTAACTTTTTTAAAAAATGCTTGTAGTGTATAGTTAACTTGAATTTTTTTTTGCATTTAGTCCTCCTTTTATTATAATTTTGATACAAAAATTTTACATTTGTTTTAAAAGACAAAATAAAGTAGCAAAAACAAACATGGAGGCAGACTATCTTATGATTAATATCCTTAAAATGTCTTTTTTGTCTCATAGAATAGAGTATAAACATTGAAGTTCTTCCATAAAATGTCTGTCTTGTCTCATAGAATAGAGTAAAAATGTTGAAATTAAATTAATAGTTACACAGGATATACATTTTAGAAGATAAAATGTTTGACACTAATTAGTAAAAGATGAAATTCTCATTCTCATTAAGTAGAATGCAATTAAGTAATTCAAATTTATAATTAAGAACTTATTTAAAAGGAAATAACTAAAGATTTATAGTGCAATGATTGGTATTTAAATTATGTAATTATATAAATAAAATATTAATATTTAATTAAATAAATCAAATTTTAATTTAGTGGAGAGCCAAAATGACAATATTAATATTCTTACAATTAAAAGTTTGATAAAATATATTTTTAATTTTTTTGTTAAAAAATTAATAGGAGCAATATTTGGTCAAAGGATAAAAGATCTTCTAACTTCTTAAGCATTTTGGTGTATCATTTTTTTGGCTTTGGGATTTGGATCTCATGATAATTTTAATAAAACTTGTCTAAAAACTATAGAGTTTATCCACAAGTGCATGTAAGAATGATTCTTTACAAATATTTAAAATTTAAGATGAAAATTTTTTATTATTAATAATTTGAAATTAGAATATTTTGTAGGCATTAATTGTTTTACATGCCTTATACACTATTTTTGTTATTGTATTTGTCTTATTTTCTAAAGCAGAAAATACACCATTCAATCAAATATACTCTTAAAATAAAATTACAAATACATAGAAAAAGTATAATGTATAGGAGCAAGTTTAGCATAAAGTTACCAACGAAAAATAGAAAAATTTCAAGACAATCTTTTCCCTATTTTTTTAATTGATAATGCAAATTGAAACAAAGTTATAGTAATAAATATTCAACTTCTGACCATAAAAAGAGTTAAAATCTTTGGAAGATAAGTTAATTGAAGTGATATTCAACTACATAAATGGAAGGGTCATATCATAGTTCTGATCTCGACAAATAAGCTAAAAAAACAAATATATCAAGCTTCGATAATCTAGCAACTTAAGTGTTATTCAGCCTTATAATCACATTATGCCTTGTAATCTTGACACAAATCTTCTTGCCTTGAAATTTTCTTCACTTGATTAAAGCTTCTCTAGTCTTCCACACACAAAAATTGCATCATATATAAATCTTTCTATGAAAATACTGTAAAAGATTTGTATTTATAGGAAAAAATATAGCTTTGAAATATGAAGATTCACTTTGTAAGTTGAAAGGTTAAGTGTTACAAAAATTAAAGACAAATATTAATTAAGAACATAAATTAATTCAGAAGATAAATTATATACATGTATCTATTTAAAAGGATAACTTTTATTTTTATTTTTTTCTAATTAATTACTCACATGTATACCAACTAAAAATATTTTAGAAATTCTACTATTTATGTTTAATTAATTAAATATTTAATAACATTTGAATTTAGTATAAGGGAAAAATAGTAATTTAATTTTTTACTTTGGAGCTTCCCACTTATAATAATTATGATATATGATATAATATATGTATGTGTGTGTGAGAGAGATATCTGTGAAATATGATATATGATGATATACATACAATTAAAATAAAAGGTAGTTCACCTATAGCCTATTTTTTTTTTATTTTCTTATATGAAGATTATTAATGGGAAAACCAAAAGTTACAAATGAAAAAGAAAAAGAAATGGACAAAGAACTTCAAAATAAATATGTCCCTTCAAGTTGGTAAGTTTCAAATTCTTGGGAGTAGTTGAAACTTACAATCTGATTTGGATTAATTGATTTGCCAGGTTACAACCAATCTTTAACAATTGACACCTTAGATTATTAATTATCAAGCAGCTGAGTTTAATATTAGGGTGACTAGGTGGGTTGGATCACTCTAATATCAATAATATAGTTATTCTAATAGTTTGTTGTTGAAGTTACTTCGTAAAATCATTTTTTGTTTTTGTTATTGTTGTAGCGATAGCGATTTTCAGAAATATATATAATTAGCATCAACTACTTTAGAAGGTTTATAATATAACACATACTTATATTTCTCTATAATTGGTTTATTTTATATGATTCTCAATAGTCAATACCATTGAGGGAGTAAAATTAGTTGTGTTTCCTTTGAGCATAACTAGAAACCAAACAAAAAACATGACCATGCATGATGACCGAATGAAAGTTCGTATCTAATAAAAATAGAGAAAAGACATAAAGAGACCATCGAAGTAGTCTCATATTTGCATAAAGACACCTAAACTTTAGAAGGGTCCTATCACACCACTAAACAACTATATATCGTTGTAAATTGACCATTTTGAGTCATTCCATCTTCTTTTTATTGCGCGTGTTGCTCACGTAGAGAACCCGACCCGACCTTTTCTTTGAAGAAAATTCGTGAACTCCGTCCTTTCATTTCATTTCTCAACTTTTCCTTTTCCCTAAAAAATCAAACGACTGTGTTCTTGTTGTTGAAGATATTGTTGTTGTTGACATTCTTGTTGTTCATCATTGTCGATCGTTGTTGACGATAGTGTTGTTGTTGACATTCTCGTTGTGAAGATTCTTGGAGATTGAAGGTCAAACAGGTTAGGGTTCTAAAATCTGCACTTTTTTTTATGATTATTCTGATTTTATGGATTATTATAGTGTAGAATTGCTAGAATCGACCTCCTACAATTGCCATTGTTAGGATATTTTTGAGTATGTTGGGTAATCGACTTAGTTAGTGTAGGGTATTGTGTTATTGACTTAATGCAACTGTTAGTGATTAGGGTTTTGTGATTGTGTTTTAGATTAGGGTTAGATGTTATCCACTTAGTTCGAATGTTATTATTTGTCTCTTATTCATTTGTAGACTTCAATTTGTACAATAACAATTGCTTATGTTAGTGTTTTTGTTCTGTTAGTACTGTTAAAGCTTAATGTTAGTGCTTTATTCTACTTTTGTTAGTTAGTGTTTCTGTTGTTGTTGTTTGTTAGTGATTATGTTTGTTGTGTACAACTTGTTAGATTGAAATGTGTGTTTGAATTGTGTTTGTTGTTGTTACATGATTTTTCAGGATGGCTTTTACTCTTATAACTTTAAGATGGTATCATGGGGGGGGGGGGGAATAGATTTTGGTCCACCACCTAAATATATTGGGGGGCATGCGACAGAATTCTTAGATGTAGATGTTGATAGGATGTCTTATTTTGAGTTGAGGGACTACATAAAGGAACTAGGATATACAATAGATTGTGATTTTTTCATCAAGTGGGATGGGTTATTGGTCCTTGTTGATAATGATAAGGTTATATTTGACCTTTTCAATATGGTGAATGATGGGGATACAGTGAAGGTGTATGTTTTTCATGGGGTTAGTGAAGCTAATCAAGCCCCACTTGAATAGGAGTTTGTCCCCCATGTGACTGAAAGTGGGGTAGGTGAGGAATCTTTTAATGAGACTTCTAACCCTAATAATCAGCCTCTTACTTCTACTTTTCCTTCCATCCCTACAACTTGTCCTTCTGAAACTTCTAGCAATCCATTTGAATTTCAGTCTTCTACTTTGCCTCCACCATCTTCTTCTATTGTGCCTCCTCCTTCATCTGATTATCCTATAATAGATGATGATCCAACTTCAGATCAGATTAATGTTAATGAGAAAGGTCCAGATATAGGGTATGATGAGACAAATAATGGTATTAGGAAAAACTTAGTTGGTAAGCTAGGAGGTGATGAACCTCATTATCTAAGTGATGAAGTTCGTAGCTTTGAAATAGATGGTGAAGAGGTTGATCAAGTAGTGCATAAACCTGTTAGGAGGAAGAAAACCCCAAATGGAGTTGTGTTTGATACAACAGCTGAAAAGATTGTTTGGGAATTAGGACTGGTTTTTGGAACTGTTGAAGAATTTAGAGTGGCACTGACAAGATATGCAATCCAAGAACATATTCAAATTGAAAAATATGTAAATGAGCCTGGCAGAGTTAGAGTGAGATGTTGTAAAGAGAGTTGTCCTTGGTTGTTGTGTGCAAGTAAGGATAAAACTAGTAGAGATTTCATTGTTAAAACATACAACCCTATCCATAAATGTTTGACATCAACTCATAACTACCTGTGCAACTCAAAGTTTTTGGCCACCAAATACAAAGAAAGAATAACTCAACAGCCAAACATCAACATTGTCTTGTTGCAGGACATTATTAGAAAGGAGTTGGATATTAATGTTGGTAGGACAACAGTGAGAAGAGCTAGGACTAGAGTGTTACAAGAGATCATGAATGATCACATTATGGAGTATGGTAGGATTTTGGATTATAGAGATGAAATATTAAGGAGTAATCCAGGTAGTACTTGTGTAGTGAAGGTTGGAGAAGATTCTGAAACTAGGCAGAAAATTTTTGAAGGATTTTATGTTTGCTTCAATGCTTTAAAGAAAGCATTTTTTGGAGGTGCTAGAAGGTTGATTGGTTTTGATAGGTGTTTTCTCAAAGGTGTGTGTAAAGGCCAGTTGTTAGTGGCAGTTTGTAGAGATGGAAACAACCAAATGCTCCCTATTGCTTGGGCAGTTGTTGAGGTTGAGAATCAGTATACTTGGACATGGTTTCTTGAACTAGTGAAGAATGATCTTGAACATGGAGAAGGGCATCAACTATCCATCATTAGTGATATGCAAAAGGTAATTACTGATATCCATCTTACTATTTTATTGTTGTTGAGTTTTTCACTTAAGTTGATTCTTTTTCTGTTATGTTGGTTTGTTAGGGACTAGAAATTGCTGTGGATACTTTATTGCCACTTGTTGAACATAGAAAATGTGCAAGACATGTTCTTGCAAATTGGTCAAAAAATTGGAAAGGAGTTGAAAGAAGAAGAGTGTTTTGGAGGATTGCTAAATCCACATTTGAAGCTGAGCTGAAGGACAATATAGAGACAATGAGGAAATTAGGACAAGAAGGTTTAGATAATATTTTATGGTACAATTTGAATACATTGTGCAAGAAGTATTTTGAAAAATATAGCAAATGTGATGTTGTGGACAACAATATGGCAGAAAGCTTTAATGCTTGGATAGTGTCTGCAAGGTATAAAACCATCATTACAATGCTTGAGGAGATAAGGGTGAAGATGATGAAAAGAATTTGTGATTTGAGAGAGTTCTCAAACACTTGGATCACTGATATATCTCCTATGTCTTTGAAGATTTTGCAAGAAAACATTCAAAAGTCTATGCAATGTAACTTGACTTGGAATAGAGAAAGAGGTTTTGAGATTAAACACCATGGGTTTACACACACTGTGGACATTGTTAATAGGAGGTGTAGTTGCAGATCCTGACAGCTTAGGGGAATTCCTTGTCCTCATGGTGTTGCTGCCCTTCATTACAAAAACTTGGAACCAATCCATTATGTGGCTAGCTGTTATAGCAAGGAAACCTACCTCAACACATATGCCCATTTTATTCAGCCAATGAATAACATGAAAATGTGATCAACCTCAAATAATCCAATTGTAAAGCCACCAAAGATCAGAAAGTTGCTTGGAAGACCAGTTAAGGTTAGAAGAAAGGAAGCAGATGAAAGCAGAAAAACTGGAAAGTTGAGCAAAAGAGGTGTTGTAATGACTTGTAGCAAATGTGGCACACAAGGACACAATAAAAGAGGATGTCCTACAAGAAACCAAGCTGATCCAAGTCAATCAACTGAACCAGTTTCTTAGGCAAGAAGTACTGCTCCAAGTCAGTCATCTGAACCATGTTCTCATACACAAGTACTTTTATTTGTTACTCTCAAATGTATGTTATATGTTGATGTATATATATTGATATATTAATATACAGGCTACTGAAAGTGGTAGAGGAAAAGGCACAGGAAGAGCAACAAGAGGAAGAGCAACAAGAGGAAGAGCAAGTGACAGAGGTGTTCCAGCTCAATCACATGAAAATGTTACAAACACAGAGGTAATATATCTAATTATTATATCATTGTTAGATAATATAGATATGCTTTAATATTTGATTTCAAAGTACAGACTGTAAATGGTAGAGGTAGAGGTAGAGGTACAGGTAGAGGAGCAGGATCAGGAAGAGAAATGACTCAAGAAAGAAATGTGAATGAAGGACTAAGTAGAGAAAGAGGAATGACTCAACATAGTCAAACTAGTTCAGAAGCAAACTACAGTAGAGGAGGACTAGGAAGAGAGAAGAGACCAGTAGAACATGAAGACACTAGTGGAGGACAAACAAGACCTTTTAAAAGGCCAAGAATGGTAGGTGTTGGCATATACCAAGCTAAAGATGGATTTACAACTCTCAATGTAAGTTTACAACTATCAATGCAAGTTTACAATTATGATTGCAAACCTCAATGTAATTGTCTAATATTTGACTGTGTATTTATTTGACTAAGCAGCCTGGATTGCCAAGTAGAAGAGTCATCAATACTGGTACAAAAGTTACAAAGAGGGTTGATGTTGTCACTGGTGATATTGGCTACACACCAGTACGTGGATTCAAATGGAAGGGGAAGACAACTATTACAAGTAGCAATCTGGAAAGAATGAGGGTTGAAAAGGTTATCCAAACTAGGTCTGTAGCTGCTGCTAATAGCCAAGGTCAAACAACTTCAAGTAGAAAAACTTCTGTGCCATGGAAGTAGGGCATTTTGATGTTGTCTTGTTCATTTTGACAAACAAAATTTAACTAAGAATATATTTGTGTTGTTTTTTATTGGAAACAAACTCAATTTTGGGTGTAACCAAACAAACTTGAATGGTTGGAATCAAACTCGATTATGAAGTCTTCTTTTTTGTCAGTTTTGTTATTGCCTTTTTAATTGTAATTGACATATTTGTGAAGCTTCTCAAATGGTTGCCACGATAATATAGATTAGAGAACCAAATACATTAACTAATTGTTCAAATCATAACAATTTCGACAACAAAGAACAACAATAACTTGAACATTCAACAATCTTTCAAGTTACACACACCTACAACTAGCAAGATCTATTCAATTAGCTTCAAGTTACAACTTCCATTCTTCAAGTTACAAAACATGTCTATGACAATTTTGGTTGTACACACCTACAACTTCCATCCTTCACATTCTTGGTTAGACTTAAACATAGAAAACACACAATAATGATCAAGACGATTAGCTTCAAGTTACAACATTTGCCCTTCTTTTTCTCCTTCATCATGACTTGGTTACTTTTAACACGACTTTCATAAGATGTCAATATTTATTCCAACTCCTTAATTCTCTTTGCTAATCTCGGAATAACATACTTGGATCTTATATCAACTTCTTCTCGATCCCTCCATCTAAAGAAGTTGCACGCATCCTCCTAAAATACGCAAAACACAAATTAAAGAAAAATACATAAACAAAAGATCTCCATAAAAAAATTAGTAAACATACACGATAGCGTGGACAAGACTAAAATTTTCGAGCTGGGTTATGCTCCGACCATGAAGTTTGCATTGATAGTAAGTCACCATGTTTGCATCGCAGTTTCACTCGCAACATCGGATCATTCTCATCATTACAAATACGATTCAACATTGCATTTGACATTTTCAATCAAAAACTAACCAGAAAATTGAGAAGAAATTCAACCATAAAAAAACATCAAATTAACGTTTATACTGGAAATTAAAAGAGAAAAGACGAATTCCTACCTTATTTTCTTGAGGAAGATGAAGAAGTCGTCAAAAAGAGAGCACCAATATTGTTCTTGCCATGGAAATCAAATTGTTAGGGCTACCAACGGTCATTTTTTGAGTTTAAATTGGGGAAGAAACAAGAATTTATTAAATAATTAATATTAAAGAAAGAAAATGACATGTGGCTGTTTTTAAGTGGTAAATAAAAAGGAAAAATGACTCATCACGCGCCTAACGTGCGTGTAAACAACCCGGATGAGTTAATGGGTAAAAATGGTCAATTTACAACGACATATAGTTGTTTAGTGGTGTGATAGGACACTTCAAAAGTTTAGGTGTCTTTATGCAAATATGAGACAACTTCGATGGTCTCTTTATGTCTTTTCTCAATAAAAATATTCATATTTTAAAATTGATTTCTTTTAAGGAAAACAAATAAAGGGCTAACTAAAATTAAAGAACTAAATCAATTTTGCTAGGTTAAGTTCTCTATAGTATGAAGGTATGATATAGTTTTTGGTTTGCTATTGGCGATCATGATTGTGATTGCGCAAGTTATTGGAGTAATTATTAAGATGGAGTACTTATTCCGATATCTATTTAGAGTTCAGAATCAAAATAAGTCAAAAAAAATAAAATTAATTAAAATAACTAACTATTTTAGAAAGTAAGTAAAATAGGTTTAGAGGAAGAAGAAATTCTATTTATCCAATATTTCAAATATTATTCATTAATCCCATAACGTATATATTTTAATATATAATGAAACTATTTTTTACACTTTATAAAATGTAAGTTTTTCTTACACTTTATAAAGTGGAAATTTTTCTTACACTCTATAAAGTGGAAGAAAAACTTGCACTTTACAAAGAGGAATATTTTTCATGTTTTGCTCTTTTATAAAGCTTTTGTAGTGTTTGTCATACAACTATATTCATTTGGCGTATCATAAAAACGGAAAGAACTGTTACACTATGTATTTTTATTTTTTCATTATGAAAACTCCTCCAAGCTATAGATTTGACGACATTCATACATAGCACCTTCAACATATTTAGTCTTCTATTTTCTTCATTTAAATCACAAAAAAATGTCTTCTAAACCAAAACTTAGAGTTTCAATTTATTGGGATGGCGAAATTATACATGATGGGAATACTTTTATCATAATTGTCCTCCCAAACACAATGCTTAATATTCAATTAATGTCCGAGATCATAAATTTCTTTCATCAATTTATAAAATAATTAGTATACATATTACTAATTATAATTTTGATTATATTCGAAAAATACCCTACTTATTTTTATCACAAGGACAAGTAAATTTTGGAGAGTGAATTATCTATAATGATGAATCGTTGACAGACTTTTTGAGGATTTCAAAAATGATTCATAGATCAAATCAAGTCAATAATACTTATAAAATCTATGTTAGAAAGGAGCCTATGACTAGCCAACAATGTTCGTCCTTATCGGTCGATGTCCATCCCCAATTAGAAAATCATAATAGCTTTGATGGATAGCACAATCTACTGATTTTCCTAATGTGACTCATTATCAAAATATTCTTACGGTCGATATGATTTTAATTTGAACGAAACTATCAATGAAAGTGAATGGTAATGCTCCATAATTATATTTCTTTTATTATTTGTTTATTTTGTCAATTATTTATTAATTTATATGATTTATTATTATTCTTATTATTATATATTTTTGTAGGAATATTGCTCCAAGTTATTTACTAGCTAGATAATTATTTTGGTCAATCCTCACACTTTGAAATGACGGGAAATGTTGGGACATCCTCATATTTTCATGTCTCACCTACTTTTGATACAAATGATTATCAATGTGTCTAACACTTCATTTTTTATTTAAGTTAATTGCATGAGATAAAAATTTATACTTTTTACATATATAGAAAAACTATCTCAATTATATGATAAACACTGCAAAAATTTCATAAAGCGAGAGAGCAAAACGTAAAAAACATTTCTATTTTTAAAATGTAAGTTTTTCTTTCACTTTATGAAGTATAAGAAAAAGTTTCACTTTACAAAGTGTAAGAAAAACTTACACTTTATAAAGTGTAACAAATAGTTCTGTTATATATTAAAGTATAAACTTTATGGGCTAACGGAAAACATTTGGAATATTGAATAAAGTAGAAGTTTTTCTTTGACAAACCTATTTTAGTTACTTTCTGAAATAATAATTTATTTTAATCACTTTTATTTTTTGGTGGTTTATTTAAGTTCTCAACTCTATCCATCCAAGTCCCTCAAATCTCATAATTCTAATCGTGACAACAAGTCTAAGTAGGATAGATGAGTTATATATATATATACTATTGCTGATTTTTTTTTAGCTTCTTCCGTGGACACGTATATTACACTACACTTCAATTGCTGCCGCAAGTTCTCTTTTCCGGCGAGACCTGTTTTTCTTTATATTTTGTGGAATGTCGCTTCACTTTAACTTCCGATTTTCCTTGTTTGTTCATTCTGTAATTGTTTTATTTTCAAAAAGTTGTTGCATGTTCTTTTTCTCCAAGACTAAGGTTTCATTGTGCTGAATATTTGTTGGATTTGCTTCATTACTGTTCATAATCACAATCAGGTGTATTTGTTAGTTTCTACTCATTTTGAATATAATTTTTTACTACATTTTTACATACTTTTTAGTATTGTACTTGGTTTACACATGTGTCCTGTCTCTTAGATGAATTTTATCTTTGTTTTCAACTAATTAGTGAAGAACTAAACTATCTTATGGAGATTTCTGAGTTGTCAAAGATCAATGGATTGTGTACCCAAGGTGCTTGATGTTATCATGAGCTATCATGTTTTGATTATTCCATTGTTTTTTTCCTTTTTGTGTCGCAGCAACAAAATTTTTGGAAGCAAATGAGCAAAAACCTCTTCTTCACTTGGCGACAAATTACTATATTAGCTATTATCATCTACCACACAGTAAGATGCAAGGTATGTGATAGAATATGATAGAATCGATAATTGATGTTTTGATGTTAGACAAGACGCGCAAAGAACGGTAGCAAATATACGCAGCAAAAGAAGCCAAGCTAGAGTCCAAGATCGAGTAAAACGGAGTTATTTGTACAAAGCCAAAAATAATATATTAAAGGTACAAGTTGATACAAATAAAGAAAACCTTAAATATATTATTAAGGAAGGAAGTTGTATATAATAAGGATTGTACTTTAAAAAAGGAATCCTTGTTTAACAATAACTTCCTTACCTTATCAGATAAGGATTGTACAAGGCAAAATAAACTCTATAAGAAGAGCACGAGGCAGAGGAAGAAAGGCACAACTTCACGCAGAGAACAAGGGAGAATTATTCATCAAACTGAAGTCTTCAAGATCGATAGGTTTGCTACGTTTAAAACGTTCTTGAGTGAGAAGGTTTTTAACGTGTAGAACTATTTTCTTGTTTTGTTCTTGATTGTAATTTACAGTTTATTGTACAAAGGGTGGGTTTGGCTCTTTGTAGGGTTGAGTGTTAGTGAGAGTTGTAACAAAAGGCGGGTTTGGCCTTTTGGAGAGAACGATTGGAGTCAATTGAGGGAGTAGTAGAGATAAGACTTTTGATTATTGAGTTGTAATCACAAAATCTTATAGTTGAATTAATAAAACGAGGTTTTTCCTTCCTTGAGTGAGGAAGGTTTTTAATTCAATAAGTGTTTGTGTCTTTACTCTGTCTTTACTTAAAAGCAACTTACACAAACCTGATTCGTGTTCTGGGGTTAGGTTTCTTCAATTGGTATCAGAGCAAGTCTTTTCGTTAAAAGATTCACACCTTGAAAAGACTCAATGACAGCACCACCTACCCCACAAGAGGGAGCTTCACAAACACGACCACCACTGTTCTAATGGCAAATATTATGGATGGTGGAAAAATCGTATGATGGACCATCTTATTGGCGAAAACCCTGATCTATGGGGAGTAATTCTAGATGGCCCAACCATACCTATGAAAACCGCAACTGATGGAATCACCAAAATCCCAAAGGAAAGAAAAGAATGGAATGTTGAAGACAAACTTGCAATCAA